TGGTTTCATTCCTTTGAGCCAATGTGTTTGATTTTAAAGCATTTGCCTTGCATTAATTTTTGTGGTTTACACAAGTGATGTACATATATTTCAATTCTCCTTGATTCTAATATTTTAGTCACTCGAAATTTTTGTTCGACGTTTTTGCAGAACCATCTGCCCAAGCCTTCAGTTTTTGTTTCCATCGTTCACCTTCTTCGTTGCCTTCTTCTTTCCATCCGCTTCCATTGTTCACCTGTTTCCTCGCCTTCTTCTCTTTTGATTCGAAAATCGATCTCCATCTAAAAGCTGTGCGCAAGGGTAACGCCGCCGTCGGCGTACGTGGCACCGACACCATCGTTCTCGGCGTCGAAAAGAAGTCCACTGCCAAGCTCCAGGACTCCAAGTCCATCTCTCTCTTTCAAACAATGTTTTTCTGTGCTTTGATCTAACAGATTGAAAATGAGGTTGGGTTTAGGGTTAGGGTGCAAGAAAAAAAAGAGTAATTAATTTTGATGATTCAGAAAAAACAAAAAACGGAGTAATTAATTTTGTATCTTATATTTTGATTTGTCTTTGCGAATATTTGATTATGCAGCCATACTTACTAACCATTTGTTTGTTTGTCCTTGATATTTATATACGCAAAAGAAACAATTACTTCTGGAAACCCAAAAAAAAAAAAAAAGATCAACAAATAAACTTTTCATAACCTTCACCATACTAGAAGTTATATTAATGATGTTCTAACAAAATTTGGAGGACTTTTGAAAAGTTAATTATGGGCAAACAATTTTAGGACAGCGCCCTAAATCTTTCTTTGGAGATGAGTTTTTGTGTACAAAACTACCAATTTTCAGAATTCCACAGAAGCTAGGAGATAGTCTGGCTGTTTATGTATGTATATAATTTGGTATTTATGTATTGTAGTGTTTATCTTGCAACTGAGGGTTGCTTTGAATATGGTTATTCTCTTAATTTGATTTGGTAAGTTTGAGTAGTTTAGAAGAAACCATGACAGAATTTTGTATTGCACTCTTCTAAAATCTTTGTGCACTATAAAAGGTGACACAAGTTATTTCAGTTAATTGTTGGGGATTCTGAGAAAGAAAGATAGATAGATAGATAGTTCTTTTGGCAATGGTTGATGTTGAAAGTTTTGAGAAACTCAAAGCTACCCAGCAATCATTAAAGGCTAGCCTAGAGAAATCTACAGCTCTTTCTTCAGCTATTGATGAAACTGCAGAGAATCTCATCATTAAAGGCTAGCCTAGAGTACATTAGCAAGAACTAGTACTGGGATTGATTTTATAGAGATCAGAAGATGTAGTAGTAGCAGAAGAACCAATCCATGATGCATCTGATGATGAAAGAATAAGGCTCTGAGTTTGACTTTGATTCTGTGATGAATTGTGATCAAACTGGTTTGTCAAGGCTGTTAGCCTCAGTCCATCACTGTAAGTACTTGGATCCGTGACCAATTCATGAACAGCCGTACGCCCTTCAAGCACACTCACTACTGCAGACATGGTAGGCCTAAGCGCTGGTGCTGCATTGATGCATAAGAGAGCAACTTTAATCATCCTAATGGCCTCTTCCTCACTGACATCGGACCCCAATCTGGGATCCACCAGCTCCAATAATTCCCCTTTTTGTTGTAAAACAAGAGCCTGAAATTTAGCAGAGAAAAGAGATTTGAAAATGGAAAAGCAACTCATGGAAGGAAAGAAGGATGACCAAGTTGGAAGGAATTTGAATGAAGATCAATCTTACCCAATCCACAAGGCATACAAAGTTCGCATTTGGTCGATATTTCATGTTGCTCTTTCCAGCAACAATTTCCAATGTAACAACACCAAAGCTGTAGACGTCTGCTTTGTCGGTCAAATAACCCCATTGTGCATATTCTGGCGCCATATATCCTCTGCACACAAAAAACGATTGTTTTCCTTAGCTGGGTGGAGAAAAGTTCACAAACAAAACTAGGCTCTGAAATGCAGTTCAGAGAAAAAAAACAGTATAGCTTACACAGTTCCAGCAACTCTAGTGCTAATGTGGGTGTTCTCCTCTTCGTCAAGCCTGGCCAACCCGAAGTCCGAGATCTTGGAGTTAAGGTCTCGGTCTAGTAATATATTTGTAGTTTTAATGTCTCTATGTACGATCTTCAGTGCTGATTCCTCATGCAAAAAATTTAGACCTCTTGCTATGCCTATGCATATTTTCTGCCTTGTAGGCCAGTCCAATTTTAAAGGACTTTCCTCCGGAACTGCAACAAACATGGATTCCCAATCAATGATCTCATTTTTGTTTTTCTTAATACACCATTTCAGTTTTTGGTCACTGGACTTGATAAGCTTACCGAACAAAGCACGTGCAAGGCTGTTGTTTTCCATGTATTCATATACCAACAGTAACTGGTTTGCTTCAATACAGCATCCATACAATCTAACAAGATTTGGATGTTGTAAACCAGAAATCATGCCTATTTCATTTACAAATTCTCGATTTCCTTGCTTTGATTTGGATGAAAGTTGCTTAACTGCAATTATAGTACCATCCAATAATATACCCTGAAATAAATACAGTTTAGTAGTTTTCAAGCATGATAAGTATAGGCCTATAAGTAAGGAACTAGTTATATGGTACCTTGTAGACAGGTCCAAAACCGCCTTCCCCGATTTTGTTTATAGGATCAAAATTATTAGTGGCGGCTTTAATTTGCTTGAAGGTGAAAAAACCAGTTTGCAGATCCAGTCCTCTCAGCTCTATCCACAAAACAAGGTTAGAATATATTGGTAATGTCGTTGAACTTAGTATCTGGGTATGTGTCTTCTAGCTAAATGGCATTAGAAAGAATGAGACCAAAGTACTACTTGAAATTTTCACGGTAACTTAGTGGCACCTTTTTCCCTAGATATCTTGCTATCCAGACAGCCTTTCCACCAAAGAATGCCGAAAATCAAGAAAATGAGGAACAAGACCGAAGCTCCCACTACAATAGGTACCTTGCTTTTGCTACCATGAGGAGGCTTGAACTCTAGCAAATAAAAAAGTGAAAAGAAAAGATCAGCAACAGAGAATACAAGTTTCAGCTCTATATATGAGATGCCGTCATATGTCCGGTATATCAATTCATAGCAGAATCTTGTAGGATGTTGTAAAGACCAAATTGAGATAGAAAGATCGAAAAGAAAGAGATGAATTGCACAGTTTCTTGTTATTTAAGGTAAACAAACTTTCCATCTGGGTACTTCTTCCTTTAGTATACTGTACTTGATGTACTATATATTTTCCAATCTATTGCAATTAACATACTTGTATTTTTGGTACATTTCCTGTATGGAACGAGTACAAACAAGTGGGATATAATAATTTTTTTAAACAAATCTAAGATTGTGTCCATGAGAGAGAGTTAATGTTTCCAATTCAGAATATACCAGGCTCTATAGAGATAGCAGATATAAGAGGACCATATGTTCCTTCCTTTGGAGAAGCTGTTGTCCCTTTCCCAGACCAATGAAATCGGATCTCTAAAGTTTTATTCTTAACCTCAACTGCTTTACTTTCCTTAATGAGTTCTTTATCAACGCCGTGTGCTTCCTTTTTAATTTCAAAATCCTTCCACACCAGTTTCTCCTGTAACAAACTTTTCAATCAGAAATCATATTTTGTTGCATATAGTGTACAAACAGTATGATTGACTACCTGAATATAAATATCAAATATCCGTCTTCCAACACTACGAAAAGATCTATTGCCTCTGATCGTTATCTCCGAAAAGTGAAGTTTCACGGTGTAATTGCCGTTTCCAAAGCAGCGTGCATAATACGTGAGAGAAAGAGGAGAGAGGCGTGCACTTGTGTACAACTCAGAGTTGTTCATTCTAAGTATAGATACATTTTTTGTAATGTAGCCTGCATTAGAGACGTCAGAATCCCAGAAAAATCCAGTGCTACTGGTTCCCCAGATAGTTCTCCGAGGAACGAATGTTGCTTCACCTCCTGGGTCTTGATCTTCTTCAAAGGTGACTCCTTTAATGGTGGTTTGTTTTCCACCACAATTTATATGCAACGAGTACTGATCTATTCAGTAGCAAGCAGCAGATAAATGACATCATAAAAATTCTAATCAGATGAAGTCAAATATTTGACTACATAAAAAACAAATTAGAACGTATTGTATTGATTGTAAACCAGTTTCTGTGATTGTCACTTGAACTTTAAATTCTGAACTAATTCTTTTACAAGAACTTTAAAATATTAAATAATTACAAGAACTTTGTATTGTATTGTTACCTTCTGTACATGGAAAGTTCTTCAAGCACTCTCTACATTAGTGTGGTACACAATCAGCTGATGCAAATTTAAAGTCCAGAATATATGGAAAGGGAAAAAATGGCTTCACCAATGAAGATTAAAAGTTTAGAAGCTTACGTGTTTCTTTGTGCAGAAAAGCTTTTAAACAGGTTTCTGATAAATATTTCAAAGAAAAATGCATTATTATAGGTGAATGAAGACACCAAAGTGTGCTAAATAATCACTGACTAGAAATATGTTCCTACAGGAAGTTTCCGCAAGTAGTTGTCTCAGAGCTCTCAGAAAAATTATTGTAAGAAATATCTGCAATGCTGCATACAATACAATAAAATTGTAAGTCAGAACAGCTCCACCAGAAAAGTTGCATTTTGGAGTATCAATAAAAATTGTAAATATGGTTAAAGGATCAATTCCACAACAGAAAATCCTAAAAGTTGATCATTTAAAATTTTAAATGTTTCAAACAGTTAAGATAGATTGTATGTGACGGCCTAGGACCTCTAACCAAAGTAGAAGTTCCCATATTTCAAACTATATATTTCCTCAAGAAAATCTGTATAGGATGGAAAACATACTAGGGAACATCGTAGCTGTTGATCCCGTATGGAGCAGACCCGGTGAGCCAGTTGCTTGTTAGATACCTATCAAATGCATAATGACATTATGTAAAATATATGTAAATATAGTTTAATATATGTATATATCATGTAGGCAGGGGAGGCCGCCCCGCCATGCATTATGATGTCTGCTAGTGACCTTCATGAAATTCACATTTCTTACAAGTAATCCAAGTCAGAAATATTTTCATAGTCAGAAATATTAATATTTCCTTCCAATTTGTTGAAGCTGAGATCTCTGCAAGAAATCAACTAAAAAGATTGTCATAACTCATAAGATCCCAAAGTTCCATTACTTGGAAGCTTAAATGAACGAAAAAAACTATCATTAATCAACTTGCGCTGTGCATTTTCACAAGATGAAAAACAAAGAATAACAGTGTTACAATGTAGTCAAATTTTCCATTGCTGATATATAAGCAGGGATAGGTCCATATAAATTGCAGCTCCTCAGCATTCTGCAACATAACTTCGTATTATTAGCCTAACTCAGCTAAGTTACACTACAACATGAAAATGTAGAACAGTTTCAAGACGTACAAGTCTGTCATGCCCTTTATATTACTCAAGTTTGGAAATTTTGAACCCCCTCCATTTAAGTCACTGAACCTTCTGCATTGAATTTCACCATGAATCATTGTAAGAAAAAAGAGTCACTGTGGTATGAAGTTTATCATAAAATTTTCAAATTAGGATTAAGGTTCTTTAGTGTTAATGCAATGCAGAACTCACAGTTCTTTTAAATTACTCAAGACAGAAATGCTAGACGGAATGGGCCCATGGAGACCACTAGCTTGGATCTCTCTGTCAACAACAAAATTTAAAATCAATCAAGATTACACAAGAAGAGTTGTTAGAATATGTTATAGGAAAAGGCACTTACAATTTCTCAAGTTGTTTAAAATTTTCCAAATAATCAGGTATTCTTCCCGTGAAGTTGTTACTACTAATCCTACTGCATGAAGGGAAAGATTGAAAAACATAAAGCTGAAGATCACCAAACATGAAAAAACGATGTTAAGGGTACAAACACTTACAATTCTCTTAATTTGGTCAGATTAGTGAAAGCCACTGGCAATTCGCCTGTGAGATAGTTTGCACTGAGAATGCTGCAGATACCAAGGCCAGTCTTAATAACTTATCCACTGCAACTTGCTTTACCATTAATATTAAAAATAAAGAGTTATAATATCAAACTGTGGATGCAAAAGAAAAAGGGAGCTTACAAAAACTCCAAGTTAACCAAATTCCCAAGCTCATGAGGAACAGTTCCAGAAAACAGGTTAGTCTGTAAGTTCCTGGAATTAAATTCTTCGTCACAGCAGGCTAACCGAGATGAAACTTAAAGTTGATTTGACAAATAAAAAAGAGTGGTCAAGAGAGATAGAGGCAGAGCATACAGATAGTTTAGAGTTTTAATGTTCCCCAAGTAGCGAGGGATTTGTCCTGATAAGTTGTTCACATTCACGGACCTGCATGCAGTTTCCTCATTTTCTTAGTAAAATTAATAAAAGCAATTAGAATTGGCTAACCTTGAACTTGAAGGTCAGAAGTCTTTTTACAGATGTTCCAACTTTGTAGAAGCCCATTCAAGCGGTATAGTACCACTGAGGTAGTTCCTGGTGAAATCACTGTAAAAAAGATAAAATTAAAATAAAATTATACTATTATTAAGCTTTGCAGATTATAAACTGAGAAAGGTTTCCCTTACACTTGTGTTATGTAGGGCAACTTTGCAACAGATGGTGGAAGTACACCAGCAAGATCTTGCCCTATAAGAAAACTGTATAACGAAAATGTTCAGCGTGTTAGCAATATTGGCTTCTTGTGTGATTGTCCTTTGTGGAACACAAAGACATGAAACACAAGACACCCCTTGTCTCATGGCACTTGTCTCATTCCTTGTTTTAGGGAATACTTTTCTTGAGCAATGTAATCCTTGTTTTAGGG